ATTGGAATGTTTTCTCTGAAGTGAAATCAATTGGCTGGAAGATTCCTGTTATTTTTTTTCATCAAATCACTCTCCCAAAATACTGCATTGCTATGTACCACCTCCTGCGTGTGCATGTGTGCGTGTGTGTGTGTGCGTGTGTGCGCATATGTGTACACTGCTTTCCCGCAGCCCTGCCAGCTGTGGGTTTGGTCATTTGTATTTATTTTTACTAATTAATTGGTATACAATAGATATCTCCTAGATATTATACTTGCATTTGCTTAATTGTTAATGAGAATGAGTAAAGTTCTCTTAAAACCCAGAAAAATAAAATTAATAGCCACCACGTCCACAGTTTAGAAAAACACCTCTCAGCTCCTTCCTTTGCCAGGACTTGGGGGCACCCACAGCTGACGCCAGGCTGTGATGCAGCTAGCTAGGCTGCTCGGTCTGCTGACCTGTGGCTGTCATCGTGGTTCTAGAGGCCTCCTCCAGCTAATAAAGCCATTTCTCTCCTCTAGGTGACTGAAGGCACCTCAGGCAGTGCCCCTTCTGCATGGCTTAGATGAGTCCTGCATTTCTTAATTGCCATATGTTGATGGTTGGGATTGAGAGATATTCTGTTTTATATGCAAAAAGGTTTCAGGAGACACAGCTGATGCTCTGTCCATGGCTTAAGAAAGCCTCAGGGTGGCCTCTGCACCCTCCCGTTGGGAACACACAAAACGGCATCCTGAGAGCCACCATCTGAGCCTGGCCTGGCAGGGACAAGGAGAGGGGGAGGAAGGTTGTGCCCGCCTGGCCCACCAGAGGGCGCCTCCCACCATGGATGCCAGGCCGTGTACCAGCCTTGCGGCTTCCCGGCTCTGCACACAGCAGCCAGGCCTGCGTCCCTCCAACCAGACATCTCAGCATCTCAGCACAGAGACACAAAGCAGTCATCCAGCTAAAACACACCATCTGCCTGGGAATGGCAACACTGGAGCAGGTTAATACCCGGCCCTGAGCAGATGGTTTCTTCCTATGATAACTGGGTCCCTGCAACCAGGTGTCTTCCTCAGAGCTACCCCACCCACCAGCAGCCCGCAGCCCTCCCTGGACCAGATCCCACTGGAAGGGCCAGCCCTGCCACCCAGAAATCCTGCCACCCAAACACCAAACCCCCGGACACCCAGATACCTGATACCCAGACACTCAACACCCAGACACCTGACAATAGACACCTGACCTCTGACACCCAGACAACCAGAGAGCCAGATACTCAGATACCCAGACACCTGTAACCCAGACACCCAACACCCAGACACCTGACATCTGACACCCAGACAACCAGAGAGCCAGACACTCAGACACCCAGACACCTGACACCCAGACACCCAACACCTAGACACCTGAACACCCAGACACCCAGACACATGACCAGACACCAAAACACTTGACAACAGACATCTGACATCTGACACCCAGACACCCAGACAACTGACACCCGGATACCCAGACACCTGACACCCAGATACCCAAACATCCAGACACCTGATACCCACACACCCAGTCACTTGGACACCCAGATACCCACACACCTGACACCCAGACATCTGGCACTCAGACACCTGTACACCCAGACACCTGACACCCAGACACTCAGATACTCGGACACCTGATACCCAAACACCTAAATACCCAGACACCTGACATCTGGACACCCAGACACCCATATACCTGACATCCAGACACCCAAACACCTGATATGCAGACACCTGACACCCGACACCCAGATATCTGATACCCAGACACCCGATACCAATAGCCAACACCTGAACACCAGGACACCAGATACCTGACACCCAGACACCTGACACCCAGACACCTGGACACCCGACACCTGGACACCTGACACCCAGACACCTGGACACCCGACACCCAGACACCTGGACACCCGACACCCAGACACCCAACACCCAGACACCTGAACACTCTGCCATTCAGTCACTTGGATACCTGGATACTCAGCCACCCCACCATCTAGACACCCTGCCACTCAGATACACAGACACTCAGATACCTGGACACCCTGCAGCTCAGCCACTTGGACACCTGGGCAGTCAGCCACCCTACCACCTAGATACCCTGCCCCCCCGACACCAAGACACCCAGATACTCCACCACCTGGACATCCCTCCACCCTGCTACCTGAACACCTGGAGACCCCTTCACCCAGAGACCCCACCACCAGGATACCCTACCACCCAGACACACAGACACCCAAACACCCTGCCACCCCACAACCCAGACACTCTGTTGCCCCACTACCCAGACACCCTGTTGTCTCACCATCCAGACACCTTGCTACCTGGACATGCTACCACCTGGATACCCAGACACCCTGCCACTCAGCCACCTAGATACCATGCTACCTGGCCACCCAGACACCCCGCCACCCAGCTGCCCCGCCAGACACATGTAGCTGACTCCCTGCTCACGTTCCCAGCTGGATCAGCCACAGGGAACTGGGGTGGAGGTCCCAGTACCCCTGAGCAGGCAGTCACCTAAGGGGTTACCTCCAGCTGTCTTTCACTGAGAGACAGTCAAGCTACAGATCAATCAACTCCATTCATAATCAAAGAAAATGAATCAAACCAGATGTCAGTAGTCACTCATGAAATTAATCAAGATAGAAGACACTAGCACTCTGCTTCTTGGTGGGGATATAATGAGATGTGTGCCCCCTTCTTGGGAGAGTAAGTTAATGATACTGCCTCTCCCGAAAGGATTCTGACCTAATAGATCAACCATCTTAAAAAAATGTTGCATACTTGGCTGGGTGTGGTGGCTCACGCCCCTGATCCCAGCAGTTTGGGAAGCTGAGGTAGGTGGATCACTTGAGGTCGGGAGTTTGAGACCAGCCTGGCCAACATGGTGAAACTCCATCTCTACTAAAAAATACACAAATTAACCAGGCGTGGTGGCAGGTGCCTGTAATCCCAGGTTCTCGGAAGGCTGAGGCAAGAGAATCACTTGAACCCAGGAGGCAGAGGTTGCAGTGAGCTGAGATTGTGCCGCTGCACTCCAGCCTGGGCGACAGAGCAAGACTCCATCTAAAAAAAAAAAAAATGCTGTATACTTTTAAATCCAGCAATTTCACTTTGAGGAATGAATCCTAAAGACTATATACCAGAATGCAATAGAGAGACTATTAACGCAGTATTACTATAATACTTCAGCATTTCCACAAAAGGAAACAACACTAGGGACATGGTTAGACACAGTGGAATATTATGCAGACATTAAAAATATTTACACGGAATCTTAAATCACATCACAAATGTTATTTAACCGTCATTGATAAAGGTGTCCAAAGGGGTGTATAGGCAGGCAAGTGGGTTAGAAACACACATACATAGCATTACAACAATTGCAGAAAACACACCAAATTTGTTACCAGCAGTTTTCTGGGTGGTGAAATTTGTGGTTTTTATGCCATTATTCTTTCTGAGTTTTTCTAGGTTTTCAGCAAGAAATATTGACAAAAGGAAATGAGCAGTTTTTAGAGACTTATTTCAAAACAGTTAAAGGAATACACATGAAATTGGCAACAGTGGCTGCCTCTGGGGTCAGCATTGGGAGGAGGCCTGCTCTTACTTCCTGCACTTTTGAAATTTTGTACCAGGCAGGTATTATTTATTCAGAACTAAATAAATTTCTACAAAGAAGATAGAGATATATAAATACTAAAACCACAGGAGCTGAGAAGCAGAAGTTTGATTTCCTGGGGGAAATCAAGTGAAGTGTTTTCAGCTCCTGGGGGAGATGAGACTTCAGGTTCAGGCTGCCCTCTTGGACCCAAAGCCTCCGAGTCACCCCAGGACCCAGTAGTCTCGGCATCTTCACTCAGCAAGTCCTGCCCCATCAGACACAAAACTGGTCAGGAGTTGGACCATCATTTCCCTGTGTGTTTTTCCCTGTGGTAGGGGTGGGCAGGCTGTGGAAGGGGCTGCAGTGGACATGGGACCTCTGAGCTGGGACCACCCATGTCCCTTGGACCTGACACAGACTGGGGCCTGATGCACGAGTAGGAATGGGGGGGGGCCCAATCACCTCACAAAGGGAATTCAATTTCAGCCCCGATTGTTCCAGTGGGATTTGCTTTAAGCAGCTGGAGAAGCTGGCATTTGTTTAACATGGAAAAAGTGTCTCCCAACTTTGAAGCACTGAACCCAAACATCTCTGTCAAGGTTTCATTCTCATGCTGTCTGCAAATCAGTGTTCCTTCCTTTACACTAAACAGGGCAACTGTAGAGCCACTAAAGCTACAGCAAACTGGGAGGTGGGTATGCCCTGATTTTCTGTTTTTAGATCCAGGGACCGTATGAAGGACTTATTTGCAGGAAGAGCAAGAATGATCAGTTCATCAAGAAAGGCCGCACTCAGTTTTCACAGACAGACAACCTCTCCTTCCCACCCCTGCCCTGTCCCCCATCAACTCAAATGGCACATAAATGATTAAGGCGGCTTCATTAACTCCAGGAGTGTGGCCTGTGTTAGGGCACCTGATTTGTGCTAGACGAGGCCAGCAGAAGAGCAATCGCTCTGCAAGAGAAAGGCTCAGCCCTTCCTTAATCACCATGGGTTATAATTCACACTGAAGTCCTTACACACACTGAGATGCTGGGATACTGAGCTTTCCTCTAAGGAGGACTCGGCATAAGTGCCTCCCTCCAAGCCCCCAGGGGCCGAGAGGAGAGTCCCAAGTCACTGCCCTGCCCCAGGAGGTGGAGATCAATAAATTACATTTTTTTGTAGAGATGGAGGTCTCGCGATGTTGCCCAGGTTAGTCTCAAACACTTGGCCTCAAGCGATCCTCCCACTTTGGCCTCCCAAAGTGCTGGGATTACATGCATGAGCCACCTCGCCTGGCCTACTCTTCGGTTCTTTAAAGCCACAAATCTGGTACTTCCCCTCTTGTTCCATTTGTAAGACTCTGGGTGTTAGAGATACTGTACACAAAATATGTGGGAAAATGACTTTTTAGAAAAACATTTATTGTAATCAATCACACTCCAGTTGTAGATGTGAAAGGAAAGTGAAAACACACAGTACATCTATGCCTCAGTATCCATGGGGGACGGGCTCCAGGACTGCACCGCACAACCCCACAAAACGGAGGATGCTCAAGTCCCTGATAGGTAATGGCAGAGTGTTTGCATTTAAACTACACACACCTTCCTGCATAATTTAAATCTCTAGATTACTCATAATACCAAATACACTATAAATGCTATGTAAATATGCTACACCATATTGTTTAGGGAATAAGGGCAAGAAAAAAAGGTTTGTACGTGTTCAGTACAGATGCATTTTTTTTTCCAAGTATTTTCTATCCAAGGCTGGTGGGATCCAAATGTGGAACCCACGGTCACAGAGAGCTGACTGTACTGGGGACATCTTCAGGGTGGAGACATTCCTTAGGGGTGGTTTATATCACACCACTTCAGCAAGAGCAATTCAGGCATACCTCTCTCTACTATGCTTTACAGATACTGTGTTTTTTCAAAAACGGAAGGTTTGTAGCGGCCCTGCATCAGGCAAGTCTATTGGCACCATTTTTCCAACAGCAGGTGCCCATTTTGTGTCTCTGTCAGCATTTTGAACAATAAATATTTATAAATTAAGGTTTGTACATTTTTTTAGACATAATGCTACTGCACATTATCTCCGAGGTATGCCTGTCCTTTTTACTAAGAATATTTCATTTGAGAAATAAATCTTAAGAACTACCACGACTTTTCAGATGGGAGGGCGAGTCTAGGTGTGCAGCTAGTGGGGACTGGGGTCAAGTCCACTTGGTGCTTGAGGCTTCACTCAGCAGGCCACCCGTCCCCTCCATGGGGCCGTTTGGTGGTCCCTGGGGAGGGAAGGGCTGCACTAAGAGGTAAACATGATTCCGGCATGGGCCGCTCCAAGGCTCCGAGACCCCAGGGCCTGCAGATGGGCGGCCTCCAGACCTGTAGGAGGTGTTTGGAAGAGGAGTCATCTCCCAAGACCAGAGGCCCCCCGCGGGAGGATGAGGCGTGGTCAGACCATTGGCTGAGCAGGATCATCTCCCCAGACCCACACGGGTGACAGGATTCAGTAGATGCCATCGAAGCTTGCGGCAGGCAGGCCTTTGCTCTTCACTGGGGGTCTGGTGAGAGGGCTGTCATGGCACGTCAGTGGACACGCCGCTGGCACGTGCTTCTTTGTAAGTAATTTCTGGAACGTGACACTGCACGGAGGTCGCCTCTCCAGCAGGACGTTGCTAGCAGTACACTGATGATGTGGAGGTTCCCCAGGGGCATCCACTGGACTTCTCCTAGCTCCCAAGCCACCTCTTCAGAGTCACAGCATCATCCAAAGGAGTCCCCCGCCTCCCCAGAGGTGCGGCCTAGTCGTCGTACTGGATCTCGGCCCGCAGCTCCTTAGTGACGTAGTTCACCAGCATGGCCAGCAGCTGCTGCTGCAGGGCCTCGCTGCCCATGACCAGTGCGGTCAGCTGCACGGCGTCCGTCCACTCCAGGTGCCTGATAATGGCTGTGGCTTCATTAAAGAGCCTCTGCTGCTCGGCAGGGGGCAGCTCCATTATGATCTGAGGAATTGGCTTAAACTGTCCACTTGTCATCCAGGCACCTAACAGCCCCCCGACAGCACCCCCTAGAAAACAAGGAAGCATTCAATTAGCGGGGTCTTATTCATAAGCGATGGCCTTACTTAAGTTCCCACTGAGCGCACACTGCCGGCGCCATGGGCAGGCGCATTCATGAGTGGGCCAGAGCAGGCTCCGTGCCATGCCTGCCCCGCTACGCAGTGTGGAGGGCAAAGGTTTAGGCATTCTTCTGTCTGCTCGGCTCAGATAATTGACACCCAACGCACATTCCCTAAGCTCCACACGTAGGGATGCAAAATGAAGCCCGCCCCATCTCCCACCTCAGGGCTGGACCCACTAAGATCTTCTTCAAGGGCTGACGGAGGTTCCTGGGCTTACTGTAAAAATCCCTCTTATCACAAAGGAGAAGGCTGAGAAACAAATGCATTTTCTTTTCTTTTCTTTTTTGAGACGGAGTCTTGCTCTGTTGCCCAGGCTGGAGTGCAATGGTGTGATCTCAGCTCACTACAACCTCCACCTCTCAGGTTCAAGCTACTCTCCCACCTCAACCTCCTGAGTAGCTGGGATTACAGGCGTGTGCCACCATGCCTGGCTGTTTCTGTATTTTTGTAGAGATGGGGTTTCACCATGTTGGCCAAGCTGGTCTTGAACTCCTGACCTCAGGTGATCTACCCACCGCGGCCTCCCAAAGTGTTGGGATTACAGGCGTGAGCCACCGCACCTAGCCACAGATGCATTTTCAAAAGAAACCATCTCAGGCTGGGTGCGGTGGCTCATGCCTGTAACACCAACACTTTGTGAGGCCAAGGCAGGTGAATCACTTAAGGTCAGGAGTTCAACATCAGCCCAGCCAACATGTGAAACCCCATCTCTACAAAAATACAAAAATCAGCCAGGTATGGTGGTGCACGCCTGTAATCCCAGCTACTCAGGAGGCTGAGGTGAGAGAATCATTTGAACCTGGGAGGTGGAGGTTGCAGTGAGCCGAGGTTACACTGCTGCACTCCAGCCTGGGCAACAGAGCAAGACTCTGTCTCCAAAAAAAAAAAAAAAATCATCTCAGGGGTGAGACTGAATTTCCTCCACTGGGCAGCTGATATGCTCCTTGCCCCGGAACTTAATGAAATCTCAGTGAGCCCACGTAGTTAAAGGACATGGGGACAGACAAGGAGGCTGTTTCCTCTTGAAGCAGTGCTTTTCATATAACGCCTCCAAGTCGTGCAGTGATAAATAACACATTTAAGGTATTTACTATTTCTCCTTCTGCCACCCTAAAAGGGCAGAAACATTATTATTATTATTATTATTATTATTTAGACGGAGTTTCGCTCTTGTTACCCAGGCTGGAGTGCAATGGCGCGATCTCGGCTCACCACAACCTCCGCCTCCTGGGTTCAGGCAAATTCTCCTGCCTCAGCCTCCTGAGTAGCTGGGATTAAAGGCACGCGCCACTATGCCCAGCTAATTTCTTTTTTGTATTTTTAGTAGAGACGGGGTTTCACCACGTTGACCAGGATGGTCTCAATCTCTTGACCTTGTGATCCATCCGCCTCGGCCTCCCAAAGTGCTGGGATTACAGGCGTGAGCCATCGCACCCGGCAGAAACATTATTTTTAAATGTAAACTCATTACCAAGGTTAGGTCATGCTATTCTGCAACTTATGTATCCATGGAACGTTCTACCTGAAGGGGCCATATGCAGGATATGGTGCAGAGGAAGGGAAGGTGCCCTCGGGAAGGGGTCTCAAAGTCAAGGGCCTCCAAGAGCCAGGCAGGAACTGAGAGGAGTGAAGGGGCTGGTGGGCCTTACCTGGCCCCTCCCCTGCTGAGGTTAGGTAGGTGGCAGGCTGTGATTTCATCCCAGCCTATGGTCTAGGCCAAGCCTTAAGCTGCATGGCCCTTCCGAGGCCCAGGACACAGAAGACTTGGATGGCCTGGTTCCTATGAAGGGGCAGTGGCTACTTTGCGCCACTTCATTGCTACCCCACAAAATACCAGGTTTGTAGCTTTAAAACGTCTCACGAGTTTTAAATATCACGAATCAGATATTTAAAGTTGAAGCCCGCTAGACTTAGGGACTCACTTTCAACAGACAGAGTATGGAAAGAGAGACAGAAACTTTGCAGCAGAAAAACCCAGCAAACGCCCTTAACCAAGTGTTCAAGGTCAACATCACTGACGACGTGGTGTGAGTGTCACGTACCCCCAGAATTAACGCGAGAGAAGGGAGAGGGGCACGTCACCTCCCAGGCATGCCTTCCAAAGACTCCTAACTCCAGTCCCATCCTAAACACATCAGGCAAATTCAAACTGAGAGATGTTCTACGAAATACCTGCCCAGTACTCCTCAAAACTAGCAAGGTTGTGAACAAGGAAAGCCTGAGTGTGAAAGGCCGGAGGAGACTAAGAAGCAGGCGATTCAGTGCAATGCAGTGTCTTAGCCTGGATCCTGGAGCCAAAACACGGCCATTAATGCACAAACTGCAGAAACCCAAATCAAGTCTGGAGAGTGGTTGATAGTCATGTACTGGTTAGTGTTGATTTCTTAGATTTTCTTTTCTTAGACAGAATCTCACTCTGTCACCCAGGCTAGAGTGCAGTGGTGTGATCATAACTCATTGCAGCCTCAAACTCCTAGGCTCAAGCAATCTTCCCACCTTGGCCTCCAAACAGCTGGGATTACAGGCGTACGCCACCCATGCCTGGCTCATTTTTTTTTTTAATTTTTTTGTAGAGACGAGGTCTCATTATGTTGCCCAGTCTGGTCTCGAACTGCTGGGCTTAAGCAATCTTTCTGCCTCAAGCCTCCCAAAGTGATGAGACTACGGAGGTGTGCGCCACTGCCCTCGGCTGGTTTTAGTTCTGACAAATGTGCAGGAACACATGTGAATGCTAGGGGAACTGAAACTGGATGGAGGACACATGGGAAGCCTTTGTACTATCCTCGCGACTTCTCTGCAAACCTAGTATTATTGTGAAATGCAAAGTTTTTTTAAAAAATGCAGCCCAGGCCACGCAGAACCCACTGGCAGGCTGGACTCAGAGGACAGGCAGCTAAACCAGCGCTGGCCTCTTCAGGAAGCCAAGCGCTGAGGCCCCTGCAGCAGACACCTCCCCGGGCACTGAGCTGGGGCCAGCCTCACATCCCAGATCCTGAATGCCGCACGCAGACAGGCTTCACCTCCTCTGCAAAAGAAAGGCAAATTCTGGGGAGGGAAAACTGGCTAATCTACAAGTTTTACTGAACTTTTCCCCATGACACTAGTGAAATGCTCAGAGTTGACAAGAGTTGCACTCATGTGCACTAAACCTTTATGAGAACATCAATATTTGATTTAGAGCAGCACTTAATGCAAAAAGTCGCCAGGAATATCGACCAGCAAATTACTGGCTCTTTGGAGAGGAGAAAATTCCTTTGTTTTCAGGGTAAAATGATGCTCCCACCCCGTGACCAGGGGCTGGAAGTAGTGAATCCCCGGGGCTCTCTTTGTGGACATCCTGTTCTCCACCAGCTTTTACTCAATCTGAATAAAATATGTGCTCCCAAAATAGCATCTGGGCACAGCTATACGATAAAATGATCCCCACAGCCTTCCCCTGAGCACTCAGATGGAGGTGGGGGCACAGATGCAGAGTGTCATCTCGGAAGAAGGAAACGGCCTTGTCTCCTGCCTCTCGGCTTCCTTCCCGGATGGCAAGAAGCTCAAGTCAGGCCTCACTAATTCATGGAGTATGGAAAGGAGAATATGGAGAGGGCAGCTCTGGGGCCACCCACACACTTATTTTTCTCCCTGATGTGAGCCTCAGCTTAATGAAATATCCTTGAATGTCAGTCCCACCACAGAAGGGAAGAAGAGGGCAGGAACCCGGCCAGCGAGCCGGGGAACAGAAGCCAACCTCAGCAGAAAAGTGCTTCTCTGTCCCGCCTGTGAGCACGGACACTGCACACCACATAGAAAGGATCTCCACCAGACGGTGAGTTCTCCAGGCCCCACGTCCCCAGCCCAGGCTGGCCAGCACAGAGAAGCCATGTGGCAAATACCTGCCCAGCCTGACGCAACAAATGCAGTCATCGTAAGAACCCCTGCTAAACCACCCCAACAGGTCTGAAGGGCAGCCAACTCTCTGACTCCATCCTGGCCTATGGTTTGGGCCACAGCCTCAGGCCAGGTAGACCTTCTGAGGTTCAGGACACAGGAACTCTTCCTGTCCCAAGCCAAAGGAATTTACTTCATCCTCGCTCCAAGGAACAGTGGAAAAATTATCCAAGCTTTCATTCACTGCCAGCAATTGATTCTCGAATAGAACCAGGTGGTAAATGGCCAGGTACAGTGGCTCACGCCTGTAATCTCAGCACTTTGGGAGGCTGAGGCAGGAGGATCACTTGAGGCCAGGAGTTTGAGACCAGCCTGGCCAACAGGGCAAAACACTGTCTCTTTACTAAAAATACAAAAATTAGCCGGGTGTGGTGGTGCACACCTGTCTCAGCTACTCGGGAGGCTGAGGCATGAGAATCACTTGAACCCCAGAGGCGGAGGTTACATGAGCTAAGATCATGCCACTGAACTCCAGTCTGGGTGACAGAGTGAAACCCCGTCTCAGAAAAAAAGCAGGTGGCAAAGGAGAGGGCAAACCCTTCAGGGGTGAAAGGCAGTTCTTTTGGTGGTCTCTTTCAGAACCGGGGAGCTCTCTCAGAATGAGCTGGGTCACGTGAAACGGCCACACCTCATGTGCTGAGTAGGAGCACAGCCCCTCCCGGACTCTTCCCTGGTTTCCTTCTGCAGGGACCTTGTAGTCATGATGGGGTGAGGGAGGCCACCATGGGACCCACGACACCCTGGTATCTTCAAAGGTCTGTTGCTCTAACACTTGTTCCGGGATCCCAGCACTGGGAGAAGGACACCTCCAGGCCCAAATGACATAGATGCCATTTTCAAGAGCACACCACACTTCTGAGACATTCATACTCACAAGCTTATAAGCTTGTGTCCAACAGGACAAATTACATCTGCAAAGATCATTTCCCAGAGGCAACCTTAACTCCACCAACTCCTCCCACAAGACACAGGGCACCACTTGTACAAGCTCATTTCTCCCTGTGTTTCTTTTCTTTTTTTTTTTTTTCTTTTGCTGAGATAGGGTCTCGCTCTGTCATCCAGGCTGGAGTGCAATGGCATGATCTTGGCTCACTATAACCTCTGCCGCCTGGGTTCAAGCAAGTCTCCTGGCTCAGCCTCCTGAGTAGCCAGGAGTACAGGCACCTGCCCCCACATCCAGCTATTTTTTAATATTTTTAGTAGAAACAGGGTTTTGCCAGGCTGGTCTCGAACTCCTGAACTCAGGTGATCCGCCCACCTCGGCCTCCCAATGTGCTGGGATTATAGGCTTGAGCCACCACGCCCAGCCTTCTCACCTTGTTTCAGTGGCCCATGCATAACACCCATGAGGCTGGCTGTCTCTGTGAGACACTTGCACTTACCAACGGCAAGTCCCGGCGGGCCACCCACCAAACCCCCGACGAAGGCCACGGCCCCTGTGACCAGGGCACCCTTCCCGGAGTGCTTGACTGCCGCCTTCATCTTCCTCTCCCCGGAAAGGGAGCACAGCAGCTTCATGATGTCCTCCACCATGATGGTCATCGTTGCTGGCCTTCGAGGGAGAAGTTCAGAGGGACAGTTTTAATGAGCGTAAGAGTATTTCCATCCCAATGCCTCTCTAGTTCCTAGAGTTTTAAGGGAGGGTCCCCCTTTTCAGGAGAGCACAGCAGCTCCAAGTGCCTGTATGACAGACAGCATCCAGACGGTGGAAAGTTCCCACAGAGCAAGCAGGCAGCAGTTAGTGAATAAGCAAATAGCAGCAGCTGAGTGGATGAAAGGTCTTCTTTGCCCTCTGATTAACTTCTGACTTATGACAGATTAAGGAGCAACCGGGCCACATGTTCTGCCGGCTCATCACTAGGGAGGCAGTCTTACCCCTCTGGCATCAGCGGCCTTTGCACTGGCCGGGGAATGCCCTGCACATAAAGCCCAGCAGAAACCAGGAAGTATTGGCGTGAGCGGTTATCTGAGCTGATGCCAAGCCAGAGCCAGGGAAGGGACAGGACTCTGCAACCACATGGGCGCCAGCCTGTGGTGGGCCCTGAGCAGAGGGTCAGATATCTCCCTTCTAAGACAGAGACAGCCCCTACAGGCTGCACTCTTGCACAGTGCCAGCAGGATGAGTAGGAAGTACCTGGCATAAGCCTGGAGGCTCCAGACCCAGGATGTCTCTGAACGAACACTGTTACCTTCTGTTCCTAACACGCATCACGGGCAGCCTTAAGCAAATGCTCTTAAAAGTCAACACAATTGTACCCATGGGACACTAAAAGCAGGGACAAGATGAAGCAACCAGAGAATAAAATACATGAAAGTATTCCCAGGCTTTGCAATATTTATGGATAGATAGATAGACGAACAAGTAGACCTTTGGCACAATTCTCTGGGGTCAGGAAAACGTGTGCCATGCTGGAGCCAGGACTGGGAGGGGCAGGCTCTGGAGAATACAAGAGCTGAGAAAATCAAAGGCACCACGAGGAGGTGGGTATCCTCAGAACCCTGGCTGAGCCCAAGGCTCCAGCAGCACTTTCCATTTCATTCTATGTGGAAATACCAAAACCAGGAAGTTTTATATAGATTGTATTGCTTAATTTTTTTTTTGAGGTGGGGTCTTGCTATGTTGCCCAGGCTGGAGTGCAGCGGCACAATCACAACTCACTGCAGCCTCAACGTCCTGGGCTCAAGCAATCCTCCCACCTCAGCCTCCTGAACAGATGGGACAACAGGTGTGTGTCACCACCCCCAGATAATTTTATTTTTACTTTTAGTAGAGGTAACTACTACGTTGCCCAGGCTGGTCTTGAACTCCTGGGCTCAAGAGATCCTTCTGCCTTAGTCTCTCAAAGTGTTAGAATTACAGGTGTGAGCCACTACATTCGTTTTTTGTTTTTTTTTTTTAAAGAGATAGTATCTTGATGTTGCCCAAGCTGGAGTGCAGTGGTGCGATCATGGTCACTGCAGCCTTGAACTCCTGGGCTACAGTGATTCTCCCACCTCAGCCTTCTAAGTAGCTGGAGCTACAGGCATGCAACACCACGCTCAGCTAACTTTGTTTTCGTAGAGACAGGGTCTTGCAACGTTGCCCAGGCTGGTCTTGACCTCCTTAGCTCAAGCAATCCTGCCTCAGCCTCCCAGACTGCCGGGATTATAGGCGTGGGTCACCACAGCCAGCCATGTGTGCCTTTCTGACCCAAGGATGATCCAGAAGCGGAAGTCCGTAATGTGAAATTGCTCTCCCAATCCTGGGATATACTTCTGAGCCCAGAGAACAAACCCACGAAACCATGAGATGACCACAAAGTCAGGCTCTCACAACTTCTCTGCAATCCCAGGAGAGCACCCTCCACTCCCGCCCCTGTAAATTTCCCTTCTCTTTCCCCTTTGGCACACGTTAGATCTATGATTCTCCACAAGAGCATGGGAATCACTGGAAACCTTGTAAGAGACAACCAGTATGGGAGGGTAAGATTGTGCATTTCCAACAAGCCCCCAAAGTGTCCTCTGAACTCACTTTGGGCAGCAAGACCCCAAGAGGGCATAACCCAGGACTCTGACATTCGTTACTCAGTCTTCAAATTCAGAAAGCAAACAAGCACCTCTAGATATGTCTTTTTGGCCCCCTGGAGTATGAGAGGCAGTGGGAGGGCAGGCCTTGTAAGCCCTGCTCATATAAGGGACTGGAGGGGAATTCGGGCCTGTGAGTCCTGCTCTGGCTACCCCGTGCCCTGGGCCTCCCAAAACCCCTCCTGGTTTCCCAGCTCTGCCCAGCCCCTTTGCTCGCAGACAGGTTGAATACCTCCTCCTTCTCCCTAGAAGAGAACCCCCTTCCACTATTCTGGTGGTCAAGATTTGTTTACACACAAATGTCTAAACAATAAAATGGCATTATCACAGCATCCGCACTGAATAGGCAGAAGCCACCTGAAATGGGGAGACAGAGGGCAGAACCTGATTTATCCAGTCACCATGGTCCTGAAAAGCTACACACACAAACGAAATGAGATAGATACATAGCCAGATAGATAGACACACACACACACACACACACACACACACACACACACACATATATATATATATATATATATATATATATATAGAGAGAGAGAGAGAGAGAGAGAGAGAGAAATAGATACTTTTTATTGTTTGAGATAGTTTGCTCTGTTGCCCAGGCTAGAGTGCAATGGGGAGATCTCAGCTCACCAAAACCGCTTCAAGCAATTCCCCTACCTCAGCCTCTCGAGTAGCTAGAATTACAGGCATGCATCACCACACCAGACTAACTTTTGTACTTTTAGTAGAGACGGGGTTTTGCCATGTTGGCCAGGCTGGTCTCAAACTCCTGGCCTCAGGTGATCCGCCTGCCTTGGCCTCTCAAAGTGCTGGGATTGCAGGCGTGAGCCACCATGCCTAGCACAAAATGAGATATATTTCAAGTACATATTAAGGTAACCAAAGGAAATATTTTACAGCAAAATCTTAGAAAAAGCTCAAAATCCTGCCATAAAATATCTAATCAGCTTTGAGCTTAGTTCTGGTTTCTATCCAGCTTTTCATCTGTCAATTATACTGGAAAAAGAAAGGCACCGCCCAGGTCTCAGGAAGGCCCCTCTGGAGGCTGCAAGGAAACTCCCTTTCCCAGGGTGTCTTCAGGCCCTGAGCTCTGCCATGCTTCCTCTGCAAGGCTAGTGCCTGGACACCACTCCCAAAACAGGTTGTCTGCAGTTTTAGGAGTGGTGCTTTGGGGCTGCACTCTCAAAACAGTTTATGGACAGCAAGAAAATGCATGTAGAAGAGGAAGGAAGGAAGGAAGGCAGGAAACAGATACAAAACCACTTTAGCTCTACCGGTTACTCCTCCCCATCCCCCCACAAAAAAAACAGCTTCCAACCTGCTTGAAATGACTCTAAATGAAAATCTACAGAGGCTAAAGAGATGTCCTTGCAAAAATCCTACTTTCAACTCCAGCTGGCCCAGGTAGGCCAGCATCATCAATGTGAGAGGAGACAGATAAATCAATTAGGCAAATAGGGCAAGGGTCCTCAGCAGAATTCCCTTCTAACAAAGAACAGCCTAAGGGGTCATTTTCCTTTAAGAAACACAGATAAAGAAGGCAAGCTCTAACAGAGAAAGGGGTCCCTGTGTGACATACAGACATACAGTGGGCCCCAGTAAGCACAGTCCTCTCCTGTCTTAGAAATAGGCCGGGCACGGTGGTTCACACCTGTAATCCAAGCACTTTGGGAAGCCAAGGCAGGCAGATTGTGAGGTCAGGAGTTCGAGACCAGCCTATTCAACATGGTGAAACCCCATCTCTACTAAAAATACAAAAATTAGCAGGTGTGGTGGCGGGTGCCTGTAGTCCCAGCTACTTGGAAGGCTGCAGAATTGCTTGAACCTGGGAGGCAGAGGTTGCAGTGAGCAGAGATCAAGCCACTGCACTGCAGCCTGGGTGACAGGGTGAGACTTTGTCTCCAAAAAACAAAAAAAAAAAGAAAGAAATACTCAGACATAGAGGCTTGCGCTGATAAGAAGAGCTACCCTGGACCAGGCACATCCACCTTGGAGTATTCTGCATGCCCCCAAAACCTCCTACCTATTTCATACATGCTCAGTAGGAAGAGATAAGCAACATGGCGTAACTCAGGCTAAGAAGCTCGCAGGTGCACTAGAAAGGGTGGGGGTGGGGACTCAGAAATTCACACCTTATGTAAATGAAGCACCCCTCCCAGGAGCTTGTCTATCAAACCCTTTGCATTTCACTGTAAAATGGCAACCCATCTCTCTGGGACCCCTCTCTGATCCAGAGGACTTTCTTCCTTTTGCTTATTAAACTTCTGCTCTAACCTACCCTCTAGTAGGAAATCTGTGTCCTTGATTTCCTTGGCCATGAGACCAAGAACTTCGGTGACACATCAGACAATGAGGCTGGTTTCACCAAGACACAAGCTCAGGGCTCTACAGAATGGGAAGGCCAGCAGCTGTCACCGCGTGTGTGAGGGCAGGCGGAGGAAGTCGCTGTGTTTTAACAGTTCCACACCACAGGTAGAGATGCTGTGGCCGACTCCATCCAAGGTTTAACTTCTTTGCAATAATCATTTCAGAAGTTAGAGCATTAACAGGCTTTTGTTGGGGAAGAAAGGTTAGTAACTCCATCTCCTGACCCCTTGCTAAAACGCTCAGTTTTCAGAAATCTCCAGGCTCACCAGATTGAGAGGGAAGCTCACCCTGTACCTTCTCCCACCTCGAGGCTGCCTTTTTCTGCAAATGACAGGGAAGTGGGTGAGGAGGGAGGATGGGGACAGACCTGGAGGGGGTGGGAGTGTGGTTCCCCCCACCAATGTATCACACCTATTTCACACTCAGATTTGTCCACATACCAGGCCCTGATCACAGGAAGCCCATCTGCCAGCCACAGGGAAGGCAATTACCAACTCGAAGCCCTGGTTTCTTGCAGGCACCGGGGCTGCTCCAGGAGGTACAGAGAGATGGAGACAAGGCCATCCCGCAGACAGCAGCCTAGCTTTCTGAGTTTGGACCAGATTGTATGAGATAAGGGAGAGGAAGTCTTCAGATAGCTCTGAAGAGAGCCGTCTGACCTCCAAGTACCCTGTTCTTTTTTTTTTAATTTATAAAAATGGGGTTTCACCATGTTGGTCAGGCTGGTCTTGAACTCCTGACCTCAGGTGATCCACCCGCCTTGGCCTCCAAAGTGCTTGGATTACAGGCGTGAGCCACCACGCCTGGCCTAAGTACCCTGTTCTTTTAATAAAAAATTAGAAGAGGGGCCTCTGAAGAGCCACAGTGGTCCCGATCACCTTTCCAGCTCTCCGGTGGAATTTATGAAACTCCACATGTGCGTGCTAGCTCTTATCAACATTGACCTCCTGCCCCTCCACACCCCAGCACAAAGGCGGCAGTGGAGCCCACCAGTAAACATTTTTTGATTCACTCATAGTTTGTTTTTTTTTTTTAAAGCAAATTAGTTGCCAATATTTAAAAATCAGGGGATTTCGCATACACCTCAAATTCCTGATTTCTCCTGAAAAATCAGAAGACCAGGCCACATAGGACCTGCCATTCTGTGTAGCAATGCAGGGCTGAGCAGGGGCTGCCCCTGCGCCCACCCCCACCCAGCAGGACCCTGCCTTCTCTGCCCTAGCCCCTCCTGGCAGCATGTACCTTACCTACATACTTGACCAATAAACAGGTCGCTTGACAGCCTCTCAAAGTATCCCTATTTCTTTTCTTTTCTTTCTCTCTTTCTTTTCCTATTCCCTCCCTCCTCTCTCTCCCCTCTCCCCTCTCCCCTCTCCCCTCTCCCCCCTCTCCCCTCTCCCCCCTCTCCCCCCTCTCCCCCCCTCTCCCCCCTCTCCTCTCTCTCTCTCTCTCTCTCTCTCTCTCTCTCTCTCTCTCTCTCTCTCTCTCTCTTTTTCCAGAAGCACAGTCACCCTATAGGCAGCTGGCTTCAAGCAAATCTTCCAAGTAGCTGGAACTACAGGTTTCTACTAAAAAAAAATACAAAAATTGGCCGTGGCTCACACCGGTAATCCCAGCACTTTGGGAGGCTGAGGCAGGTGGATCACAAGGTCAGGAGTTGGAGACCAGCCTGGCCAACATGGAGAAACCCTGTCTCTACTAAAAATACAAAAGTTAGCCAGGCGCGGTGGTGGACGCCTGTAATCCCAGCTACTCGGGAGGCTGCGGCAGGAGGATCGCTTGAACCCGGGAGGCGGAGGTTGCACTGAGCCAAGATCACGACATTGCACTCCAGCCTGGCCGACAGAGCAAGACTGTCTCAAAGAAAAAAAGCTCAACAAACTACCTCTCACCCCCAAAACTATTCTTATCTCCTAAATCATTAATGCCCCTTCCTGACCAAATGTATCGCCCAGATCTTCCCATATGGCTCAGCCAGCTCTGCTGCCCTACAGGCGTCCTGTAGGGTCCACTTCACATTTATAATATACAGCCCCCCACCCCCAGCCCCGCTCCTGCCCCACCAGCCACCCTCACTCCACCGGACCCCTACCCATCACATTCCCCACCCCACCTACCCCACCCCTCTCCAACCTTCCACCCATCACATCCTCCACCTCAGTCGCACCAAACCCACATACCCCATCCCACCCACCACCGCACCCAACCTCACCCACTCCCACCCAGTCCACCATCCGTGCCCCACCCCTACCCACCACGCCCACGCCTACGCCACTCCTGGGTGACAGCGAGCCAGGGCCAGGGACTCTAGTCCCGGCTCTGATGCTTACTTGTGTGACTTCGGCCTCTCCATGCCTCAGTTTCCCCATGGGACAATGACTACACTAACAGTGTCCACCCGGCAGCGGGAGGGCCTCCCCGACAGGGCAGGGACCCCTCAAGGCGCTCCCGGGCCTCAGGCCTGCTCTCGGTGTGCCCCCACCCTTCGCGGGGCGCGGCCTGGGAGGCGCCCCGCCCCGGCTCGGCGCACCTTTACCTGCGGGAGCGAAGGCCTGCGGTGCGCGCTCGGCGGTCAGAGGCTGCTGCGGCCCGCGTGGAGATGGAGACGCGCCCGCGACCCGGGCCCTGCTGTACCGCCGCTCCCTGCCCGGCTACCCAGCCCCGGCCCCGCGGAGGGTCTCGCAGGCCTCGGTGGCGGTCCCGGCGCTGGCCCCGCCTTCCCTCCCGCCTTCCGGTGCGCGGGGCCTTCCGGGAAGCCACGCGCTGGGCCCGCTCCCGGCTCCGAGCTGCGCCCGGCCTTGCGGGGACCCGGTGGGCGCTGCCGGGCGTTCTCTCCCCGGCCCCGGCTCACCCCGCCGCCGACACCGGGGCCTGGGCTGGGTTACAGGTTGCGCAGCCGAGACGGGGCGCCCGGAGAGGAGGCCCGGGGACCGCAAGGCCGCGCTCTCGCAGGCCCAGCCCTGCCCTGCTCCCTCGCGCACGCAGGGTCAGAGCCGGGCCCAGCGCACCTGCCTCCAGGCCCGCGGGCACCTTGCGGAGACCTCACTCCCTGTAGCCTGGAGGACTCCTCCCTCCCCTCAGTCTTTGCGCGGAGAAGAGCACAGGGACATCTGGAGGTCAAGGGTGCTGCGTCAGTATTTGGTGAATGTGTGGGCCGGAGCCAGATTTCCGCTGTTCCTCAGCCTGCTCTGGAGCCTCTGGGTATGGGGGTTGCAAAAAAGCAGGCCGGGGCGGTCCCGTAATCCCAGCTGCCCGTGAGGCTGAGGAAGGAGGATCGCTGGAGCCCAGCATGTCGAGCATGGGCAACCCAGGGACATCCCATCTCTACATATAAAAATGAGCCCGGGTGGGTGACTCATACCTGTAACCTCAATGTTTTGGGAGGCTGAAGCCGGAGGATTGCTTGAGCACAGGAAGCATGATCGCACCCCTGCACTCCAGCCTGAGTGACGGATGAGACCCCGTCTCTCTCTCACTCTCTCTCTATCTCTCTCTCGCTCTCTCTCCTCTCTCTCCTCTCGTCTCTCTCTCTCTATTTTTTTGAGACGGAGTTTCGCTCTTGCTGTCCAGGCTGGAGTGCAATGGTGCGATCTTGGCTAACCGCTACCTCCACCTCCTGGGTTCAAGGAATTCTCCTGCCTCAGCCTCCCAAGTAGCTGGAATTACGGGCGACCACCACCATGCCTAATTTTGTATTTTTAGTACAGACAGGGTTTCTCCATGTTGGTCACCTCACCTCAGGTGATCCGCCCGCCTCGGCCTCCCAAAGTGGGGATTACAGGCATCAGCCACTGCGCCCAGCCGGGACCCTGTCTCTTAAAAAATAAAAAGGGGGGGAAGGGGGGAGAACTGGCCTTGCTCCTAGGATTCTTGGGTGGGGGCCAAAGCTGAGGCTAGGCAGCCTCTTGGGAGGGTGCAAAGGGCATGAGGCTGTGATTGCAGAACTGCCCAGGAGTCTTACTGTGTTGAGGCCTGTGGAAAGCTGTCCCCACTCTTGTCATGCAAGGTCTGGCCTTGAACCATCTCAAACCCAAAAGTGGCTTCCGGGGGCTCTCTAGAGAATTAATCCTAACAGCAACCTTGCAAAGCAGGCATGGTTTTCATTGCCAATATTACAGATGGGAAACTGTAAACACAGGCTGCTCTGCCCAAGGCCACCCTGGTTAGAAAGTTTCAGGGCCCAGACTCCAGCCCGGGAAGGTAGCTCAAAGCCCCCACCTGTGACTGGCAGTATGCCTGCTCTGCGGGGTGCTGCGGGCACCCAGAGGACGGACTCCTTTCCATTCTTAACACCAAGGTTAAAACCCTTAATGCCAAGGTTCCCCAGCCCTTGGCTGGGGTAAGACAACCCCATGTATTCCTGAATCAGAGCTATTGCTTGAGTTTGAGTGACTTTCAAGAGGGAAAGTGAACTGAGGCCAGGGCAGTCCAGCTTGGTGCCTTCCTGGGGCCTGAGTGAGGCGCTCCTGTTTCTCTGTGGACAGCTCCCTCTGGCGGTACATTCCAGAATTGGCCTGCAGACTCCTCCCCCAGAGAGAGTGGGGAAAGGGCCTGTGTAGGGGAAGATGATGGGTGTGAAAGAAGCTTCAGAGTCCAGACCGTCCAGAAAGGACAAGCATGTAAGTTCACGCAGCCGAGCGCAGTGGCTCACACCTGTAATCCCAGCACTTTAACAGGCCGAGGTGGGCAGATCACCTGAGGCCAGGAGTTTGAGACCAGCCCGAACAACATGACGAAACCCCATCTCCACTACACAGAGAAAAATGATCTGGACATTGTGGTGCATGCCTGTAGTCCTGGCTGCTTGGGAGGTTGAGGCAGGAGAATAGCTTGGAAGGAGGTGGAGGTTGCTGTGACCTGAGATTGGGCCATTGCATGCAGTTTGCAACACATCAGCCTCCTGGGCCTCATTCTGATATGACTGCAGGCACAAAATGATCGCACATTCTAAACCCCAGGAACGGAGCACACAGTGCCTTCTGCTGCTAAAGGCAGGTGGGGGCTCCTGCAGAGTGTGCTAGGCATGCAGTGGGGTCTCCATGATGGTGTGGAAATGGCACTGGCCAGAAATGGTACTGGCCCAGCACACAGCGATGCTTTATGCTGCTTACAATGACCTAGGGAAAGTTCTTCCATGTCTCCATGCCTCAGTTTCCTCATCTAGAAAATAGCAACGAGTAGTGCTTATCCTATAGGGCTTTCTGAACACACAAGGAGGTAATGCATAGGAATCTAGATTATTCCTGTTTACATTACAGAATGGGGAAATGAGTGGCTTCGCCACAGTCCCAAATATGAGCCTCCAGTGCCCAAGGTAGTGGGAAACCCAGTTCTACCCCCACCCTGACAAAGCGCTCTCTTCCTGATGGGCCCAATGATGCCCTAGGGTGCTAGGTGGTGTTCACAGGGCCAGCCAGAGTCAGAACTCAGATGGGCCCCCCTGAGATCAGCGTTTCTATGCCTTCACTTTCTCCCGAAGCTGAGTGCACCAGCTCCTAAAACTTCCATGGCGCTTTCAGGCTAACGCCACCCACCTAGACCAGGGCTGGATGATCAGCCACGTGGGCCACACCCAGAGTCCCTGCAGCATCTTTTGTTTTTTGCTTGTTTGTTTGTTTTTGAGAGAAAGTCTCCCTCTGTTGCCCAGGCTGGAGTGCAGTGGTGCAATCTCAGCTCACTGCAACCTCTGCCTTGGGGGTTCCAGCGATTCTCCTGCCTCAGCCTCCCGAGCAGCTGGGACTACAGGCGCCCGCCACCACACCCTGCTAATTTTTGTATTTTTTAATTAGAGATGGGGTTTCACAATATTGGTTAGGCTGGTCTTGAACTCCTGACCTTGTGATCTGCCTTCCTCAGCCTCTGAACGTGCTGCGATTACAGGCGTAAGCCACCGCACATGGCCTTAGTCAAGTGATTCTCATGCCTTAGTCACCAGGGTAGCTAAGATTACAGGTGTGCACCATCATGCCTGACTAATTTTTATATTTTTAGTAGAGATAGGCTTTCGTTATGTTGGCCAGGCTGGTCTCAAACTCCTGGCCTCAAGTGATCCACACTCCTTGTCCTCCCACAGTGCTGGGATTACAGGCATGAACCATGGTGCCAGACCCTGTGGCCTCTTAACATTAGCACCCGGGTCAGGAGAGGTTGCAACCCCACATGCTGGGCCCAGAGCACCCTTCCTAAAGACCTCTGAGTCCTTAGCCCTGAGGGTCTTGAGGAGGTCTCCCCAGCGCCATCCTTACCCCATACATACCATTCCTGTCATATGTGGTCTTCAGCACCCCACCAGACATGTACTAGGTGTATGAATTTGCTTGGCTGCCATAACAAAGTACTGTAAACTGGGCCACTTAAAACAGAAATGTATCATCTCACAGTTCTGGAGCAGATGTCTAAAATCAAGGTGGCACCAGGGCCATTCTCCTTGCTATCAGCTGAATGTTGATGTCTCACCAGAATTCATATGTTGAAACTTAATCCCCAGTGTGAAGAGGCAGGACCTATGGGAGCTGAACAGGTGACCCGGGCACTGCCCTCATGGCTAGGACTAGTGGTCTGTGAAAGATGCTGGAGGGGTCAGACGTGGTAGCTCATGACCATAATCCCAGCACTTTGGGAGGTCAAGGCAGTTGGATCACGAAGGCAGGATTTCAAGACCAGCCTGGCCAAGACGGTGAAACCCTATCTTTACTAAAACTACAAAAATAGCCAGGCACAGTGGATGGTGCCTGTAATCCCAGCTACTTTGGAGACTGAGGCAGGAGAATCGCTTTAACTTAAGTGGCAGAGGTTATAGTGAGCTGAGATTGTGCCACTGCACTCCAGCCTGGGTGAAAAAGTGAGACTCCATCTCAGAAAAAAAAAAAAAAGAAAGAAAGATGCAGGACGAAACTTGTTTGCCCCTTCTTCCATGTGAATACACAGCAGCAAGATCCCATCTATGAGGTACGGGCCCTTGCCAGACACTGAGTCTGCTGGTGCCTTGATCTTGGACTTCCCAGCCTCCAGAACTGTGGGAAATCAATTGTTGTTGTTTATAAATGACCTAGTCTGGGTATTTTGTTATAGCAGGCTGAGTGGCCTGGGACAGTCCCTGTGAACCTGTAGGGAAGACACTTTCCTTGCTTTTCCCTAGCTTCTGGTGGTGGCTTTAATCCTTAGTGTTCCTTGGCTTGGAACTGTGTCTCTGCCTCTGTTGCCACATGAAATTCTATGTCTGTGTCAAAACTTTCCTCTTCTTCTTCTTCTTCTTTTTTTTTTTTTAGATGGAGTCTGGCACTATTGCCCAGGCTGGAGTGCAGTGGCGCAACCTCAGCTCACTGCAACCTCTGCCTCCCAGGTTCAAGCGATTCTCCTGCCTTAGCCTCCCAAGTAGCTGCCATTACAGGCATGCTCCACCACGCCTGGCTAATTTTTGTATTTGTAGTAGAGATGGGATTTCACCATGTTGGCAAGGCTGCTCTCAAACACCTGACCTCAGGTGATCCCCTCACCTTGGCCTTCCAAAGTCCTGGAATTACAGACATCAGCCACTACACCTGGCCCAAACTCCCCTCTTCTAATAATCATATTAGATTAAGAGCCCTCCCTAATAACTTCATTTTAACTTGATGACATCTGCAAAGAACCTATTTCCAAATAAGGTCATATTCCCAGTGATGGGGTTAGGACTTCAACACATCTTTATCTAATTCAACCTTAACCCCAGGTGGCTTTGTTTTCTACTGCCATAACAGAATTACACTGACTGAGTAATTTATAAAGAGAAGATATTTTTTTGGCTCACAGTTTCAGGAGGCTGGAAATTCCAAGATCCAGGGGCCACATCTGGTGACAGCCTCTTGTCATAATATGGCAGAAGGTATCACATAAAGAGGGAATGTGAGAGAGGGGAGTAGGGCCAGGCTTATCCTTTAATCAAGAGTCTACTCCTGTGATAACAGCACTAATCCACTCATGAGGGCAAAGCACTTGTGACCTCATTACCACTGAAAGGTTCTCCTAGCAATTTGGGGGACCAAGGTGGACAGATGACCTCAGGTCAGGAGTTCACAACCAGCCAGACCAACATGGCAAAACTTCATCACAAGTAAAAATATAAAAATTAGCTGGGCATGGTGGCACATGCCTGTAATCCCAGCTACTCGGGAGGCTGAGGCAGGAGAATGGCTTAAACCCAGGAGGCAAAAGTTGCAGTGAGCCGAGGCAGTGCCACTGCACTCCAGCCTGGGCGACAGAGACTCCATCTCAGAAAAACAAAAACTAAAACATAAGTACATATGTCTCACCACAATGGCCATTGAATTTCAACATGAGTTTTAACGACGTGCAAACCCTAGCGTGAGTATTCACCAGATGCCACCTGTGTTCATTATAATCTGAGCATGTGCATAGTACCTACATGTCCACCCATGCACAATAAAATAACACCCTGGGTTAGGCGTGGTGGCTCACAAGTGTAATCCCAGCACTTTGGGAGGTCAAGGTAAGAGGATTACTTCAGACCAGGAGTTTAAGACCAGCCTGGGCAACATAGCAAGACCTCATCTCTACAAAAAATTTAAAAATTAGTCGTGTGTGGTGGCATGCGTCTGTAGTCCCAGCTACTCAGGAGGCTGAGGTGGGAGGTTCGCTTGAGACTGAGGCTGCAGTGAGCTGTGATTGCCGCCATTGCCCTCCAGCCTGGGCAACAGAGTGAGATTCCGTCTTAAAAAAAAAAACAGTAACGGCTTCAGGCCATGCCTACGTCAAGACTGTTGTGTGCAGGGGAACCATCCTGTCGCCTCCCTTCAGCCTTGGGAGAGCTTAATTCTGAAAGCGCTGTGGAAGGACAAGGTGGCTTGGGGACTGGTAATGATCTCTTCCCAGGCTTCATCACTGTTCTTTTAAATAATTAATTCATCTTCTTCCTTGGTGTTTACATCCTTCAAATATTTGTAGATGGTTATCATGTCCCTTTAGTCCCCACTTAGCACCACTCTGCATATTTGCTGTCATGTTGAGTGTGTGTTACCATCACTGTCGTTATTATTATTATTTCCTCCCGGCTCCCTCCCTCAGCCTCTCAGCCACCATCACTCGGTGAATCTCCTCCAGGTTCCCAGTCTTTCAAGTACCAGGTTACTGAGGATGACACATTTAAAGTCAGTAGAGGTGACAAGCCCTACTTGTCACAGAGGGCTTGCAGCCTCTCTAATTTTCATCGGTTTCCCCAAAGCCACAGGGGGGAAAAAAATAGACAAGCTAAGTGAAAACAGCATGCTTCTACTGCAAACTCACCTTCCAGACAAATCCCCCAGCCCCTGCCCCCAAACAGATAGTCCTCAGTTTCCTCCAGTACAAAATCAGGATGAGAAGGCCTGCTTTCACCAACCTGGGATTATTGCGAGGACTCAAAGAGGAAAAACTGAAAGTGCTTTGTAAACTAAAAATCAGGGAGGGTGGTAGTCCCAGCAATGCCTTCCACATTGGATGGGATTTCTACAAAATGTTCCAGAGGTCAGCTGTTCTAAACAGCTACAAATTCTAAGTTAGAATTTACAAATGAACTCGATAGAGCTGAGATTCACCCTAAAATCTGTCTATTGAAAGAACATAAAGAGATGCCCTACTTAAAAATCTACTCATAGATGTTAGTATTCCAAAGAAAGTGTGGAACTCAGAGCTGGAGCCCGACGGGCCCCTGGACAAGTTTACAGATGGCCCTGATGAGACTTGAGAAGGTCACGCTGCTATAAAAGACTTTTTTTTTAAAAAAAAAAACCACCTTGTCTTGCATTTCAGATCTCACTGAAGAGTTCTTCTGTGCCTGGAAGACTTATTTTCAGTCTGAGAAGAATGATTTTTCAATGGTTCTGTTGAACATGCAATTCTCACGCAAGTATTTCTATAATTATCCTGTTTCAGTTATAATACAGTTTCTGGAACAATAGGACTTTTATTGTATTGCCATATCTGTTATAATAGATGTTTTATTACAGAAAATTATGGTAGAGTCACTATTATGATTCTGAAGTTTTTATTTCAAATTGCTCAGAGGATGGAAATTCTTTCTCCCACTTGTTTTACTTTAAGGAGCTTTGATTTGGGGTGGGGGTGGGGTGTCTTTTCTTCTGTTGCAACTTCCGTCTGTTTGAGGTTTTGTTCCATAGCAGAATGTTCTCTTTCACTCCAGTGTAGCCACCTCTGATACTTGTTTACTTGTTAGCCCGTGGTACACACAATTTTAAAAAGAATGTTGCCTAGACTGTCTCTATGTATCTGCAAAATTTCTTTCATTATTGCCGGAGAGGTCTCCATAATCCTGGTATTATTTTTTTTTTGAAATGGAATCTCACTTTGTCACCCAGGCTGGAGTACAGTGGCATGGTCTCGGCTCACTGCAACCTCCACCTCCCAGTTTCAAGCAATTCTCTTGCCTCAGCCTCCCTAGTAGCTGGGACTACAAGTGTGCACCACCATGCCTGGCTAATTTTTAAATTTTTTTTAGAGGAAGTCTTGCTCTGTTGCCCAGGCTCAAGTGGCACAATCTTGGCTCACTGCAACATCTGCCTCCCGAGTTTAAGCAATTTCTGGTTAATTTTTGTATTTTTAGTAGGGACGGGGTTTTGCCATGTTGGCCAGGCTGGTCTCGAACTCCTGACCTCAAGCAATTTGCCCTCAAGTGATCTTCCCACGTTGGCCTCCCAAAGTGCTGGGACTACGGGCGTGAGCCACCGCACCCGGCTGATAAACTGTATTTTAGCTGGGCGTGGTGGCTCACCCCTGTAATCCCAGCACTTTAGGAGGCCAAGGTGGGTGGATCACTAAGTCAAGAGATCAAGACCATCCTGGCCAACATGGTGAAACCCGGTCTTTACTTAAAAAAATACAAAAATTAGGTGGGCGTGGTGGCACACGCCTGTAGTCCCAGCTACTCAGGAGGCTGAGACAGAAGAATTGCTCGAACCTGGAAGGCGGAGGTTGCAGTGAGCTGAGGTTGCGCCACTGCACTGCAGCCTGGCGCCTGGCAACAAAGCGAAACTCTGTCTCAAAAAACAAAACAACAAAACAAACAAACAAAAACTATATTTTAAAAAGGTAAAAAATACTAGTGATCATGAAACACTAATAGTAGTGATCATGAAAATAGAGAAGCTGAAACTTCTGGACGCCTTCAGGCTAGGGCATATCTTACTTCAGGTGGTAGCTCCACCTTAAAGAGCGGGGCCGGGGGCGGGGGCGGTGTGGAGATTTCCTTGGTTAAATCAGAGGCTGCTGGAGGTCGAGGTGAGTTTCAGGAGTGTGCTTGCTGCCTCCAACAGTGAAGGTCTTTGCCTCCAAGAAGATGCCACCCATGGGGAAGAGTAATCCTCAGATCTTGGACATCAGGTCCAGCCTTCAGCCCGCTTGACTTTTCCACAGTGAAAAGATTTCAGGGCTATGAGAAGTCCCAGAATATCTGCCCACAGCAATCTAGCACCACCAGAACCCACCTCCACATGTGGCCACCATGTCTCCATGTTCCTGGTAATGCACATTCCCAGGCTCCGAGTCTGGAACTGCTGATGGAGGGGCAGGTCCTGGGCCCTGCCAAGAACCGAGGTTGCCCAGTCACAGCCTTCGATTAGACAGAGCCCCTTCAGTTCTCAGATATTTCTTAGGCTACCCAGGAAATAGAGAGAGGAAGGGACCTGCCCCTGGTCACACTGTCAGTAACAGAATCAGAACAGGCTGGGCGTGGATCGCCTGAGGTCAGGAGTTTGAGTCCAGCCTGACCAACATAGTGAAACCCCATCTCTACTAAAAATACAAAAAAATTAGCTGGGTGTGGTGGTGGGCACCCGTAATCCCAGCTACTTAGGAGGCTGAGGCAGGAGAATTGCTTGAACCCAGGAGTCAGAGGATGTGGTGAGCTGAGATTGCGTCATTGTACTCCATCCTGGGCAACAAGAGTAAGACTCCGTCTCTTGGCCTCCCAGCCTCTGTTCTTCACTTAACACAAGGCTGGCAGAGATGGGGAGACCAGCCTCACCAACACAGGCCCTATGAGTGGGTGCATTTGTACTGGATGCGGAGCACCTTTGGAAGGCAGGGAAGCCCAGGGAGGTAAACACACGCACCCGCGCGCGCGCACACACACACACGTCCTGAATGTGGAGAAAATGAGAGGAAAAACTGTCAGGGACTCCTCCAGCACAGAAAACATCCTGATAGTTTAGAGTGCCCAGAAGAGTAGGCACCTTGGAATCTGCAAGGGGTTCTTTTGTGGCTCACCTGCAGTGGGGTGGGGTCTCTGGGGCCTGCCCTCCGTCCCACCCTACATGCATTACCCATCCTATAGTAGCCGGCCATCCCTGCAAAATTCCAGCCCATGGGGTGGGGGGGAGGAAGGGTGGGGAGGGGTGGGAACACACCACACTTCCGACTTCAGAATGAAACTAGTGCTTTGCACACGTTCGTTCCTCAGTCCCCTTTCTGGAACCCCTCTCCGTTATGAAAGCAGAGACCCCACCCGAACACGGTGACTTTGGGGCGATGTTCTTGGGGGTCAGGAATTCAGAGGTGGAGCGTGGGTACCTAGCACCCCTAGTAGCCAGGGAAGCCCCTCCCCTACTGAGACTCAAGCAGGCGCCAGGCCCCAAACCCTCGCTCCTCTCTGGTATAAATCGCACCGTAGGATTTTCTTTTTCGGTGCGGCGGTGCTTTGCTGGAGTAGCTGCGAGGGGGAGCTGCGCGGGGCAGGACCGGGGGACCAGAGGCTCTCGCTTTGGCGGCGGCCCTGCGGGTGCCAGAGGCTTGCAGAGTGATCTGAGCGCGCCAAGGGATTGCTATTAAGTAAGGTCCTCCACAAGTCTTCAGAAACCTCAGACATTACAGCGCCCGAGCGGCGGGCGGGCAGCGGCTTCCCATATTCTGCCAGACAATGGGGCGCGGGAAAGAGGGGGACAGCGGCCTGGGGACCCCACTCCCGCAGCACGTGCACCGAGCCCGCAGCACGTGCACTGAGCCCAAGGCGCCGGCTTTACAGATCGAGTGGCTCCACCCCCAAAACAAAGGCTCCGGGGCCCCATCTGTGCCGGGCGCGGGGGAGGGCGCCGCACTTGCTGCCCGCCGCGTGCAAAGCGAGCCAGACAAAGGGCTCAGCCCTGCAGACGCGAGTGGTGGGGAAATAATTAAGCACTAAGGAAATATTGTACGTGGATTTGAGACCAACAGAAAACGCGCTCCCAAACAATGCCCGTTGTTTGCACCGGGCTTTTCTGCTAAGTTTCATCAAGTAATTTGCATGCTATTTCAATACAATTAACGAATTATGGTCGAGTTTTTTGTTTTACTGACATAAATAAAAATCTTCATTTCCTTTATTATTGAAATAATTCGCCCCCATTTCCCGGGCAGCCTGAACTACGCGCTAAGGAAATCTGGTCTTCCAGCCAGACCCAGCGGCCTTTCTGCTGCACTCCTTAGCTAACTCCCCGGAAACCCTGCGTTTGTTCTGGCTGCTCCCCTTGACTGTGGCAATAACTAGAACTTCAACCCTCTCACTTTCTTAACGCCTGCTTTTCTTGCAGTGGGAGCACGAGCATTTATGCGTAGGAGGGACTCAAGGCAATGATGCATTTGGAAGGCGCTGGAAGGTAAGGGGCTTCTCTCTTTTTTTCTTCTCATCCACCCGCGCCTTTTTAAGAGACGAGGTTTCTCCATGTTGGTCAGGCTGGTCTCGAACTCCTGACCTCAGGTGATCCACCGGCCTCAGCCTCCCAAAGTGCTGGGATTACAGGCATGAGCCCCAGTCCTGCTGGCTAATGGGCTAAGGAGCTTCTCTTAAAGCTGTATTTGCAAAGCGAGTACATTGTTTGTTAAGGTTTTATATTGCACCTTTTTAAAAAGGTAACGTGGGGCCTAGTGTGGTGGCTCACACCTGTAATCCCGGCACTTTGGAAGGCCTAGGAATTCAAGACCAGACTGGCTAACATAGTGAGACCACAGCTCTACAGAAAAACTTAAAAATTAGCTGGGTGTGGTGACCTGTGCCTGTAGTCCCAGCTACTTGGGAGGCTGAAGCAGGAGGATCACTTGAGCCCAGGAGTTTGAGGCTGCTGTGAGCTATGATTGCACCACTGCCCTCCAGCCTAGGCAATGTGGTAAGACCCCATCTCTAAAAAAAAAAAAAAAGACTAAGAAATCATCACTAGTTGGTGTTATTAAGGAACAACAGCATCACTGTCACTATTATTTATTGCTGCATATCAAATCCAAAACTTAAAGGCTTAAGACCAACGTCGTCTCTCACAGCTCCTAAGCGCCAGGAGTTTGGGAGTGCTATAGCTGGGCCCTCTCTTGAGGTTGTAGCCATCTGAAGGGGTGCTTGGGGCCTGGTGATGTGCTTCCGAGAGGACCATTTGCTCATGTGGCTGGCGAGTCGTCCTGGGCCCTTGGCCATGAGGCCTGAGTGCCTCAGCAGGTGGGGCTCTCCACAGGCTGTTCCACTGTCCTCGTGATTAGGAAGCTGGCGTCCTCCAGAGGAAGGATCCAAGCAAGGAAGCAGAAGCCACAGCATCTTCATGATCTAGCTTTACGGGTACACACCATCACTGCCTCACCCCACCTGCTACGCATTCGTCCATATGCCTGGGGCTGCACAGAGGCATGAATGCTGGTAGGCATGGATCACGGGGGGCCAACTTGGAGACTGGTTACCACAAGTGATTATCATTAGTATTATTTGGTGGGGCCATTTCGAGTGCCCAGAGGAGAGTATTATATAGCTAAAGGCATCATTTCTTGTTTGTCTTTCTAGTCAATGCAAACGAAAGTGATCAGTTACCTTTAATGGTGTTTCCAGACTCCAAACATGGCCTTCCCAGTGCCAGCTCTCCTTTCAGACTGGGGAACAGAACAGTAGCGGAGAGAGATAAGGTCCCCTCTCTGCATCCCTGACTTTCCAGAGTAAGAAAACGTAAGTGTACACCTGAACATAGCAACCAGGGCTACAATACTGTGGAGACAGTGCTGCCGAATGGGAAGAAGTTCAGGCCAGGTGGAGTGGCTCACACCTGTAATCCCACCACTTTGGGAAGCTGGGGTGGGAGGATCGCTTGAGGCCAGAGTCCAAGACCAGCCTGGGCAACACAGGAAGACCTCTTTGCTACAAAAATAAAAATTAGCTGGGTGCGGTGGTACACATCTGTAGTCCCAGCTACTCAGGAGGCTGGGGCAGGAGGATCGCTTGAGTCCAGGAGCTCGAGGCTGCCAGTGAGGTATGATCGTGCCACTGTACTCCAGGCTGGATGACAAAGCAAGACCCTGTTTCAAAAAAGAAAAGGGAGGAAACTAGGCTCTGAGTGCCAAGGCTGGAGGTCTGTACACCCTGGTCCTCCTCAAACTGCAAACCTGAAATGTCCCAGGCATTTCCGATTTCCTGCAAACCGGACCTTTCAGTAGAACAACAGATGGGATAAGAGATTTTTTTTTTTTGAGACAGAGTCTTACTTTGTTCCCCAGGCTGGAGCACAATAGCCACAGTCTCGGCTCACTGCGACCTCGCCTCCCGGGTTCAAGCTATTCTCCTTGCCTCAGCCTCCTGAGTAGCTGCGATTACAGGTGCCTGCCACCATGGGCAGCTAATTTTTGGTATTTTTAGTAGAGACAAAGTTTCGCCATGTTGGTCAGGCCGGTCTCAAACTCCTGACATCAAGTGATCCACCCGCCTCGGCCTCCCCAAGTGCTGGGATTACAGGCGTGAACCACCGCACTCGACCTAAGATGGATTTTTGATGTTGTCACATCTTCATGGAACACCTCCGCTCCCCTCCTAGAAGGCAGCCTCCACAAGGAAGGAGCTTGTTATGTCTTATTTATCCTTATACCTCTCATGCCTGGAATGGCTGGTACATAATTGGTATCACTAATGACTGTCATTAATAATAATTATCTAATGGCTATCAGCCTTGTTGGTGTCCCCAAGTCTTTCAGGTTTAATGGACGTCCTCCTTAACATTAATAAATAAAAGTGATTCAAGTTCTCAGTCTACTTACAGAGAAACATGAGAACTAAAATAAAGTCTTAAGCCCTCCAAGCAACTGCACAGACCCCCTCGTGGCCAAGGGGATCCCAGAGGAAGCTTAATAACGGAGTTCCCAGCCACGATGGGAAGGGAGGTCAGACACACCCTGCTTTACCCTGTCCCTGTTGTGGCTTAAACACAAATGAACAACATTCATGTTAAAACAGAGGTCGTGGTGGCTATGGTGTCTCATGCCTGTAGTCCCAGCACGTTAGGAGGCCAAGGCGGGAGGATCACCTGAGGTCAGGAGTTCGAGACCAGCCTGGCCAACATGAGGAAACCATCTCTTTACTAAAAATACAAAAATTAGCCATGTGTGCAAGCATCTGTAATCCCAGATACTCAGGGGACTAAGGCAGGAGAATTGCTTGAACCTGGGAGGCAGAGGTAGCAGTGAACAGAGATCGGGCCACCGCACTCCAGCCTGGGTGACAGACTGAAATTCTGTCTCAAAAAAATAAAAATAAGAGGTCATAAGACTGGCAGAATGGACTCTGACAGTAAGATAACAAATCAAAACAGGACAGAAGGGCCATATTGGGGAAGGGTTAAGTCACACATCTCTGCACTTAAAGAATAAACTATGTTCTAGCTGTCACAAGGGGCTTCTTTTTCTCTAGCAGCTAAACGAGCCAATGGCTTGGAGATAGGCAATGTTAAACCAATCGCAGCTCGCCCACTGCCAGACCCTCCACTAGCCAGAACTGCAGCCTTGATTGGACAAGAGACTGATGCAGTAACCTTCTTCTGATAAGAGCCCACTCCCCAGGGCCTGGTTCCTCCCGTTTGCAGGGGCTGTGCAGTTGCATGCCTCCATGACTCTGCTTCACCTTTCGACGTTTACAGCCTGATTGTAATACACCTAAATGTGAAGTCTCCACCCCCAGGTGAACATGGGACGCATGTAACATGCATGTTTGCTTATCACACATGTGCACAGACTCCTCCCATGAATTCCTGGCCAACCCATTCAGCTTGAATTCCTGTCTTATCTCCTCCCACCCTTCCTCAAAGTACCTGCCTGTTGATTTCTACCGGTGACTACACTTTTTAGCCGGTCAGGGTGGCTGCCTTGCAGGTTGTAAGCCTGTCTGAGAAATAAAGCCCTCCTTTTCTAAATGCATATATTGAGTGATTTTTTTTTTTTTTTTGAGACAGAATTTCGTTCTTGTTGCTCAGGCTGAAGTGCAGTGGCATGATCTTGGCTCAACACAACCTCCACCTCCCGGGTTCAAGCAATTCTCCTGCCTCAGCCTCCTGAGTAGCTGGGATTACAGGCACGCACCACCATGCCCAGCTAATTTTTGTATTTTTACTAGAGACAGGGTTTCTCCCTGTTGGTCACGCTGCTCTCAAACTCCTGACCTCAGGTGATCCACCTGCCTCGGCCTCACAAAGTGCTGAGATTACAGGCGTGAGCCACCGTGCCCCCTATATTGAGTGATTTTTAAGCCAGCAAACACCAGCCCAGAATCTCTAAAGGTTGCTGAGAGAGGTGGTAAGAGCCACCTCTGCAATCCTCCTGATCAGAAACCTCTAAAGCCTGATTCTTCAGGATTGGCCTCCTCGCCTCCCTCAGCTCCTCCGGCCTTCCCTCTGTTCAGTGTGCCTGGCCCAGATGAACTGGGAGCTCCAGATCTTCTCAGGGACTTCCCCAAAGCCTCTCTAACACAAGGCATTGGCACCATCGACTTTGACTGTCGGGTCTGCAGTGACCAGTGAGTGTTCAGTGTAGCAGCGTGGCTCACCAGGTGCCTGGAATGGAATATTGAGACCGCCTGGTTCTTGAGAGTTACTTGGGCCCAGCCAGGCACTCACCACCTTACAGAGCCTTCTGCTACTCTCTTATCCATGGACCAGCCTCCAGCTCACTCTTGCTCTCTTCCTGATTCCTCTTCCCATATCAGGGACAGTAAAACACTCACCCACTGCAGGCCACAGCACTTGGAGTCCAGAGCTCTGAACAGATATCTTACGTTCAGTGTGGTCAAATTTTTAGGCTTAATGCCCATCTTTCTTCTATTTACTTTTGTTTTAAATTATTTTTTAGAGACAGAGTCTCTGTTGCCCAGGCTGGAATACTCCGGTATAATCATAGCTCACTGCAGATTGGAATTCTGGAATCAAGTGAGCCTCCCACCTCAGCAGGGACTACAGGTGCATGCTATCACACCTGGCTAATTTTTAAATCATTTTAAGAGACAGTCTCCCTATATTGCTCAGGCTGGTCTTGAACTCCTGGCCTCCTGCATTGGCCTCCCAAAGTGCTGGGACTACAGGCATGAGCCACCACGCCCAGCCCCACCCTTCTAAGTGGAGGGAAGGTTTAGTCTGCTCCCATCATGAATTATGCAACCCCCCTTCCCCCTTAGAACATACAAGCACTCTAGTCAAAGTTTCTGAGTTTTTATTTTAAGAGCATTTTTCATTTTGGCTAAACATAGACATATGTACCCACAAGACTGCTGGTGAAAACAAAGAAAAAAATCATCTTGAGGAAACAAACACATCTTGAGAAAGTTTCTTTCAAGATGTTTTGGCGCGTTCTATGCTATCACTTTGCAGAAGAATTTGTTGTCCACTCGGTAATTTTAGGGGCTGTCTGAGATGGTCTGTTCCCGGAAGACTGTGGATTGGAAAGGTGGCAAAGTGGAGTGAATCCCAGCCATTCCGTGGACAGGTGGGCTGAGGGAGAAGTTCAGAGGCCTCTCTAGAGTGATTTGCAATGTCTCAGACAGAAATATAACATCTTCTTTCATCCTCTGCAGAGTCTGGAGCTCAATTCACACCTTTTTTTTCTTCCCTCACTTAAAATCAAATTCTCGCCCTTAATACTTCCTTTCAGAACTGCACCGAAAATGACGATGTCTTCTCATGCATATGAATTACCCAAAGTGTAGGAAAATGAGCCCCCACTGGAATCTCTAAAGCCTTTAACCCACGCACACTTAATGCTGTGAAGCCCTGATTACGGCGAAGGTGTCTTTTTATTTTAGAAGGCATTTAGGACAGTTCATGTCGCCCTGCACAGATGCACGGAAATTGATTGTGGGGCAAACTATAAAGACAGCATATGCTCCCCAAATCTGTTTCTGAGCCACGAAGGTTGATGAATCCTGAGGTGGGACTGAGGGGGAACGGCGGCAGCTGTCTCCCCTGCACGTACGGGGCAGCTACTTCCGCGTTTGGACATTGGCATGACACCCTCCTTGCCTACTCATCTGTGAAAATGTGCAGCATGTTCATTTAAAGCCTCCTGCTCCAGCGTGGGGCCTTCTGCAAACCGCAGGGACCCCCAACAATTACTTGTTGGGAGAACACATGAAGCATAAAGCACGGTACTTTATTTTAAACATACAGGTGGCACAAATTTATTTCCAAAGATTTAAGCATCTGATGACTTCTCCTTAGGGAAAAAGCATTAAAAGGGGCCTCTCCTGTAACAAATTTCCACTCACCATAGTTTGTGCAGAGGCGGAATGTCAGGCTTTTCCCACTGAGCTCTGGACATGAAGCAAAGTTAACACTAGAGGGTGCTATAGATCAGGAAATCCAGGAACCGTGGGCGACGGACGGAGTTCAAGACGCTGCCCTCCCGATTATAACCTAACAAACCAAGCATGTCACTTTGCCAGAACTTACCCCTTCACCATTTCTGCTATGATGAAATTATCCAGATATGCTTAATTTGAAATTTTGACTTAGCCTGAGATTATATAGAATTTCAAGACTGGCTATGGCCGGGTGCAGTGGCTCACGCCTGTAATCCCAGCATTTTGGGAGGCCAAGGTGGGTAGATGACTTGAGGTCAGGAGTTCGAGACCAGCGCTGGCCAACATAGTGGAACCCTGTGTCTCCTAAAAATACAAAAATTAGCGTAGTGTTTTTTACCGGGCTTACCGGTGGGATTACCGGTGGCACGTGCCTGTAATCCCAGCTACAGGAGAATCGCTTGAACTCTCAGGAGGCAGAGGTTGCAGTGAGCCAAGATCACACCACTGCACTCCAGCCTGGGCGACAGAGTCTGTCTCAAAAGAGAGAGAGAGAAAAAAAAACTAGCTGTAGGTGCAGAGCCCAGGTCTGTAGGATAGACACTTTGTGTTTTTATCTTAAGTGCTTTTCAGTTTCACCCTTACAGACCTGATACTAAATCCCACTCATGTACTTCAGCCCTTCTCTGAGGGAGGGCGGAGTTTAGAGGCAGTTTTAGGAAGCAGGGATGAGGAACCAGACAGAAAAGGTGACACAGTGAAGGAAGGACAAGCCAGTACATTATCAAGGCTGGTCCCATCTGCAGGCAACCAGGGCTCAGTCCCACATGGACTTCTGAGTACACAGAAGGCCTTTCAGAATCTTCTGCCTCTCCCCCACTGGCTGAGAGTTCCCCAGGCATGGTAACCCCCGTACCTCCGGGCTGAACATATGTTTTCATGCTGAATGGGCTCTTTCTGCCATCCCATGCCACTGAATTCGGGAAGCCCTGGGGCCAAAGCAAACAGCATGCTTGAGGCAAGGTGCTGTGAGGACCAAATGAGCTGAAGCTCGCACAAAACTGCTCACCACCACCATAGCTGAATCAGCGGAGGCCAAGAGCATGCGAGGTGGTGCCGGCGACTGTCTGATCGTCTCCCGCTTGGACCACTCAGACTCAGGCATGCCCTGCATCAAATGCAACCTGTCACCAGGTCTGCAAGGGGAAGACCTGTGGAAATTCTGCTGCGAATGAAGCAGTATTCGCATGCGAATGAAGCTGTGCGCCAGGTGAGGTGACCATACCTGCCCCCCTGCGGCTTCCGAGTCTTTAACACTTTGTCTTTGTTGGCCCTTGGCTGCTGTGACTGTCTGTTTTATCTTATTGCAGGTTCGAGATTCACCAAGAAGGCAGGGTGCAGTGGCTAATATCTGTAATCCCAACACTTTGGAAGGCTGAGGCGGGTGAATCACTTGAGCCCAGGAGTTCGAGACCGGCCTAGGCAACACAGCAAGACTCCATCTCTTAAAAAAAAAAAAAATTATTCATGCCTGTAGTCCCACCTACTCAGGAGGTGGAGGTGGAAGGATCGGTTGAGCCCAGAAGGTCGAGGCTGCAGTGAGCCATGATTGTGCCCTTGCACTCTAGCTGGGCAACAAAGTGAGACCCTATCTCAAAAAAATAATGAATAATCAAATAGATAAAGACACCAAGAGACTTCACAGTGACTCCCCCAAGTCCCAACATACTCATTCCTTCCTCATGGAGAAACAACTCTATCTCCTTGTGATAATGAGAATGAGTTTCACCTGCCAGTTTCATCACTACCTTTTTTAGTGCAGTAAAATACACACAACACAAAATGTGCCATTTTAACCATTTTTATTTTATTATTATTATTTTTTGAGACAGAGTTTTGCTCTTGTTGTCCAGGCTGGAGTGCTCTGGCACAATCTTGGCTGGCCTCCCAAAGTGCTGGGATTATAAGCATGAACCACTGCGCCCAGCCCAGTTGAGTCATTTTTAAATGTTCATTCGGTGGCCTGAATTCCATGAACATTGCTGGGCAACCGTCGCTACTATGTACTTCCAAAACGTTTTCATTGCGTCAAACACAAACGTTGTGACCATTAAGCAATGCCTCCCATCCCTTCTCCCCTCAGCACCTAGTATCCACTCGTCTAGGTTCTCTGTGACTTTGCCCTTTGTAGATGTTTCATGCAAGAACAATGATATCGTATTTATCCTTTTGTAACTGACTTATTTCACATAGCGTAGTGGTTTCAAGGTTCATCCGTTGCGGTCACCTGTATTAGAGCTTCAGGCTTTTTCACGGCTGAATAACGTTCCACTGTATATACAGGGTGTGCCACATTTTGTTATTCATTCACCTGTTGATGGCAACTTGGTTTGTTTTCACCTTTGGGCCCTTTTGAATAATGCTGCTGTGAATATCGGCTTGGACGCCTCTGTTTGAGTCCTGAGTTCTTCAGGATATGTGCCTAGCAGTGGAGTTGCTAATTCTATGTTAATTCTACTTTTAATTTTTTGAAAAACCGCCATATTGTTTTCCATGCTGGCCGCACCATTTTACATTCCCACCAACTGTGTGCAAAGATTCCAATTTCTCACCAACACAGTCTCATCAATACTTGTTATTTTGTTTTAATTTATCATGGTCTCGTTTTTCCTTTATTTATTTGTTTTTCCTTTTTTTTTTATACTTCAGCCCAAAATTTCTTTAATTATAAATAGCAGGCATTCTAATGGATGTGGGGCGGTATCTCATTTTGCTTTTCATCTGCATTTTCCTAAAGTTTAGTAATGTTGAGTATACTTTCCTGTGGTCATTTGTATATATGTGTACGTTTCTGTTTTTGTTTGTTTGTTTGAGATGGAATCTTGCTCTGTCACTCAGGCTGGAGTACAGTGGCACAATCTCAGGTCACTGTATCCTCTGCTCCCAGGTTCAAGCCATTCTCCTGCCTCAGCTTCCCAAGTAGCTGCTGGGATGACAGACACAGAAGCCACCATTCCCAGCTAATTTTGTATTTTTAGTAAAGACAGGGTGTCACCATGTTGGCCAGGCTGGTCTTGTACCCCTGACCTCATGATCTGCCCACCTTGGCCTCCCAAAGTGCTGGGATTACAGGTGTGAGCCACTGCGCCTAGCCATCATTTGTATATTTTCTTTGGATGCATATCTGATATCTGTTCAAGTCCCTTACTCAGTTTTTTTTTTTTTCTTTTAGACAGAGTTTTGCTCTTGTTACCCCAGGCTGGAGGCGATCTTGGCTCACCGCAACCTCCGCCTCCTGGGTTCAGGCAATTCTCCTGACTCCGCCTCCTGAGTAGCTGGAATTATAGGCATGCGCCACCATGCCCAGCCAATTTTTTGTATTTTTAGTAGAGATGGCGTTTCACCATGTTGATCAGGATGGTCTCGATCTCTTGACCTTGTGATCCA